TGCTCAGAAACCCAGTAAACACTGCCTGCACTGAGCAAAGCTTTTGAGGAAGATTGGGAAGAAATTGTTGGACAGGATGACCACCAGGAGACCTGGACCCTATTCCTGTCTCTGTTAGGGTTGAAGTGATGGAGTGGGTGGAGCTGGCAGAACTCCTGTTATTTTATTGCTCTCTCTCAGCAGAAAGTGAGTGTCCAAACCCCTGAGATCATGTTCCTACCATTGCCTTCCCAAGTGCTCTTACCTCTCATGCTTCCATTTCGCAGTGAGGCCAGGAGCTGCTGGGCCTTCACCTATGTAAAGGGCTTTGTGATCTTCCAGGGGTGGCTGCAAGGCCTCAAAAGCCCAGATCATTTCTCTCCAAAGCAAAGGGACTCACTGTTCCTCACCTTGGGAAGTCTCCACATAGTCATCAGGGAAGGAAGGCGAGGCAATACCAGACTTGCTAGCTGAGCATAAGCCAGACAGCCTGGAAGGGAGGCAGTCTTCACCAGCTCTCTGAAGGCTTCAGACTTGTCCCCTATATCACCTTCATGTCACCAACAACAGCAGCTTGTTGCAGGGGGCTCTTTAAGAGCTGCTTGCTGGAGAGATGCCCCTTTCCCTCCAGCTGGCATATTCATTACATGCTGTGTTAATATTAGCAAAGAATCCATTCAGCCAGCCCTCCACTAAGCTCAAAAGCCAGGGCTGGAGCCAGGAGGCAGCAGAAATGTTTAGGTACCACAGAGCAGAAGCAAAGAGGTTGGCATGACACTGGCCTAGGCACAGGAGAGGATCCTCCCTGTGGGTGAAGCACATAAGGCAGTGTCATGTTCAGGATCCACCCATGTCAGCATCCTCCATGGGTGTAGCCGCTCTTGCTCCCTTCCAGGGACAGAGGGCAGGAGAGCTGGGTTAAGTCCTAATTCTGGTACCCAGGGATCAGGGTAGGAAGATGGGGCAGAGTACCAGGGAAAGCCCTGACTGAAAAGCCAAGCCCAGCCAAATGAAGCAAGGAGGACCTGATGTTGCTGGAGCCCTGGGCAAATGGGAAATACCAGTCTCCTCTTGAACCAGCCATGTGGGGACCAGGATGTGAGTGGGCACCAGAAAGGATCAGGATGAGACATAGCAGAATGGTGGGAGCAGTTTGGGGGGAAAGAAGTGATAGGCTTAAAAAAATACCTTACTAATGTGGGGGCAACTTAGCAAAGTGCTGCTTTCATGAGTGAAACAGAGGTGACTGCTTCAACTCCAGAGCTGGTGAGGAGCCTGCACATAAGCTCTGGCTGTTCTGTTGCCACCCAAGAATCTGCTGTCGCTGACATGGGCTGTCTTTCCACTGCAGTGCTGGGCCGAGTGCTGGAAGTGACAGACCTGCCCGAGGGCATCACACGGACAGAGGCTGACAAGCTCTTCACTCAGCTTGCCATGGCTGGTGCCAAAATCCAGTGGCTCAAAGAGACTCAGGGGCGTCATGGAGATGGGGGCAGTGGGGACAACAATGGGACTCCAGAGAATGGCAGGCACAGTGACCTTGCTGCCTTATACACCATCGTGGCTGTGTTCCCCAGCCCACTGGCTGCCCAGAATGCCTCCCTCCGACTCAACAACTCTCTCAGCCGATTCAAGCTACGTGTGGCCAAAAAGAACTACGACTTGCGGGTGCTGGAGCGTGCCAGCTCACAGTAGGGTTCACGCATGGGCGCAGAGCACACTGGACTGTGGGCACTCCCCTCTGCCTTCTCTTTTCCTTTCTGCCCTCCATTTCTCTCCCCCTCCTTCCTGGATATATTTATATGGACCTAATTAAGAGATATGAAATTGATATTTTTTTTTTTTTTATTATTTTTTGAGTCATGCCTGTGCCCGCCCAGCTTACCCTGTGTATATTGTTTTGTTTAGCACTGTGTTGAACTGCACATACAGGTGTTGATTGGTATGTTGACTGCACATTTTATTTAATCTGATTATTATTTTGGGGGTATTTTTTGTTTTATTTTATTTGGGGGTTGTTTTTAAATATAAAAAGAAAACTTGACCATCATTTTCATGCTACTTTCCCATTCTCTGACAGTAGGAGTGCTAGTGGCTGGCTGTGCCTCTTCCGGTGAGATGACAGCCAGGGAGCAGAAGGGGCATTCACAGGAGGATGTGTTCTTGCCAAGGTCCTGCTGCTGTGCTTAGCATGTACAAGGACTGTGAGCTCATGGCTTGCTGAGGCTGGGAGAGAAGTACTGAGCACTTTGACCTGGGGCTGCTCCTCCCTGTCAGAAATTCATAGCCTCTTTTCCTAGCTGCTGGGCCCATACAGTTGTGCAATGGCAAGAATGGGGTACGCTGCATCACTTGCCCAGAAGCAACACATTCCTCCTGATTACAGGGGAGCAGCCCTTGAGCTGATAGGTGCAGGTATCACCATGTCCTCCTGCCCTCTGGGTACAGGAGTTGGGCTGGGATCACACTCAACATAGCATTGCACACAGCAGCTGGAGCCTCTTGCAGCATCTGGATGCTACCTTCAAGAGCAGGTGCAGGTGAAGAGGTAAAAGCTGCCTGGAAGGGATGGGCTCCAACCCCAGCCTTGATGCAAGCTCCTGCCCCACTGCCACCCACCCTGCCTGGCAGGGACATAGGTCCATGGATCTGGCACCCACTGCAGAGCAGCATGATAGGAATTCCCAGTAGGACTTGCTGCCAGAGAGTATGGGGCAGCCATGAGAGCTGCCCTGTGAGAGACCCTACTGCTGCCACGCTTTACTTTTTCCGTCCCAGCTGCAGGAGCTTCAGATGTGAGATCAAACATATATCAAGGCTAGAGCACTTGGTGTCCCCCTGCTCTGCTGCTGCCCTATGCCAGGGGGTGGGTGGGCCTCTGACGCCCAGCAACCTACTAACGCAAATAGCCAGTGGCTCCTCTCCACCCCACTCCCCGCCTGGCTCAGGCATGGGCTCCAATTTCTCAGCGTCAGCCTCTGCCAGCGCTCAGCTGTCGGTTCCCCTCTGTCCTGTCACTCTGCTTCCCACAGGAGCAGGGCAGCTGCCCCCC